CTACTACTACTACTACTACTACTACTACTACTACTACTACTACTACTACTACTACTACTACTACTCGCTTCTTAGTCGATCGGCAGATTATTCAGGGGAGGTAGGCCTCATGAGCGGTATCTCATATCTTCTTGACCTGGTTGACCTACCACGTGGGGGGGTTATTAATCAGATCTTGACATTAATAACCTTGGTTCCAAACGCGGACACTGACACCAGTGATCCAAAGTGGGCAAGCAAATAACAAGCCCCGGAAGCAACGATTTACAGAGACTGCATTTTGCACCATCTCCAAAAGCGCCAGAGTCTGAAGTTTCAAAGGCAAACCGGACGTGCCAGGTTGGAGCCAGTCTTCTGGAAGCTATCGCCAAACAGCTTGCTGGAATACTGTAAACAAACGGGCAAAGATCTTCAATCCAATCTGGGTTTTCACGCTACATGTCTCAAATGTGGGGATGTGTCAAAACCTTGAAATCGACCAGTCCACTCCTTTGCCGTGAACGACCGACACCAGGTCGGGAAAACCGGTCCGTCTCCTGGTCCAATGTCTCAAATGTCTCAACCCAAAGCGTGCAGAAAGGAAGGTCCATTAAATATATATAATATATATATTATATATATATGGCAATATAATGTAGAGTTTGCTATTAGGTTGGAGGCCATTGCTCTTAGGTTGAAGGCCATTGCTAGTGCGGATCCGAGCTGCTCAGTTTCAGCGTCCGGGGCGCCCGAGCTTCGCTGTCGACAGCTCGACAGCGACTCGGTCGACATCCAACGGTCCGATCCCTTTTTTGCTATACCGATCTAAAGAATGGCTGACAGCCACATTTTCCCCCCAATTGAAGAGTGTGTTTTGGCCTTGGGGTTGGGACCACCGGCCAAACCTCTGGGTTTTGATCTGTCTTCTTTCTAACAAAGCTTTGGGGACACCAACCATTCTAAAAATATCAACGACCGCATTTGAAGTACAGTACGACCTCGCCACCCAACCACGCGCAGCCCCGCGCCGCTTCACATGCTAATTCACGAAGAGAACGCAAGAAAAACCGCTCCAGGCACCTCTGGCTCGGGAGCGTCTTTGAAGTGCGAGTTGATGATATCTTCCTCGTTCCGTCGGCAATAACAACGCAACTCAATGGGATTTTGTTACAAGAACCAACCAACAAACAAACAGACCAACAAACCATTGCAACCAAAGAAACAATAAACAACAACAGCAAGTTCAAGCAAGCAAGCAAGCAAGCAAGCAAGCAAGCAGGCAGCAACCAACCAGCAGCCACAAAATCTGTTCTTTAGGTCCACCCCCTGAATTTCACCAAGCGAGCAAAAAAAGAAAAACACAACAGCCTTCGCTCTGGGGGGCAGGCGCTGCGTAGGTCCAGCAGCAAGCAAGCAGGCAAGCAAACAAGCAAGAATGCAAGAACCAACATCAACCAACCAACCATCACAACCAAATAAACACTACAGTACATCAACAAACAACACGACCACAGGACAGACAGGTACCTGAGGATGGGAACCCGAAGGAAACAGTGCACAAGTTATGCCGCCTCGTGCCGCGCAATTGACGCCACTTCCACTAGCTTTGACGTCTGTGCGCGAAGAAGTGCTGTTCAAGCTTTGTGCATACGATCCGTGGGTCAGGTGCGCACTACAAGCTTCTGCAAAAGCTGTGGAGATCACTGACCCACATGTGGCACCACCAAGCACGTCGTTCCCTTGACGATGAACCACCGAGTCTTCGGGGCAAGGTCCCTGTGGAGCGATTCCTTGTTCGAGTCACAGCCCTGTTGGACCGTGTTCTTTCCACGTGTGGGGCTCAACGTGCTAGGGGCATGCTTTGACACGCTGCCACCTCTTCCTCCCCGCATGATGGTAAGAGGCTGCATTGAAAGCTCTGGCTGTGACGCGTATTGTCCGTATTGTCGTAAAACACGTCAAGCTCCGGCGTTCGTCTTGCCGGCCTTCCCACATCGTTCTCCATCTCAGAGCTGAATGGATACAATCTGCAGTGTGCAGTCTGACTGAGCCGCAAACGGATGGCCCCTAGTGCATGGATGATCTGGCATTGGATGGCCAGAATTGGAAGCAGTGGCCGATCAAAGTGGTGATGGGCTTTTTGGCTCCCTGATTTGGCCTGATAGCCATCAATCGCGAATAGTACATGCACGAAAGTACCATGCCATGCTCCCTCAAGCTCCGGTCGGTGTCTCATGTGACACATCGGCAAGGTGTGTTGCGCTTCATGGGGCACAGTGTTGCTTCCGCTATGGATCCGTTCTGGCCGCCTTATGGCCCCATGTTTCCATGGATTCAACTCCGAAGCGTGCTTCTCGGCCAGGATCTTCTTTCCACACAAGGGTTTGCACCACCTGTACCGGGCTCCCATCTGGGTGTGCAGCTCAACTAGGGAGAACCCCTGAACATCGAACAACATCCACGTTCGTCTACCCATATTGGTTGGAAGGTCTCCCTATACCACCCTTGCTTGCCTCCGCAGGAGGATCCCTTCCCTTCCAGGTGCTTCGTCCGCGTGTACCGCCAAGAGGCCACTCGCGTCTTGTCCCAGCCCACAAAGGCATTGCCTGGGACGGACACGCCAGGGCGGATGGGTCTACCCAATCTATCCGAATCCTATTAGGATCACCAGTAAGAGTGGATGACGATGGGGACTGTTACAGGTCGGACAAATGTTAAAGCATGCATATCCACTTTTCCTGGGTGAGTCGGTTTGGCCTGCAAGTGCCCGACCGTGACCAGTGACGATCATCCACGATCTGTGACCGCGTAGGACCCGTGAGCGGTGGTGAGCGGTGGTGCCGGGCGGCAAACCCTTTCAATGGGTCTGGACCAATTTGTGCCAAAGGATCTCATTCTGGGGTTACAAGGGATCCAAATTTGACTTCCTTGCTCCGTTCGTAGCGATGCCCTTTGTTCCGTTCGTAGCGAACCTTGCTCCTAGTAGTAAGGCCAGGAGCCCCGAACGTAGCGTCCTTGCTCAAGCCCTTGGTTCAAAGGAATCCAAGGATGTGGGTGCCTTAGGAACTTGCTGAGAACTCGCCCATCTCTTCCCTCCGGCCAAAGGTAACGTTAATGGACAACTGCATCCCCTCTCCGTCGCCTGTCCAGTATGTCATTCGGCTCCTTTCTTCGAAAACCTCGGCACGAACCCGGAGGCCGTGGCCCAAACAGAACGCGATCCAACGCCCTTAAACACCCGAAAAGGACACCTGACCAACGACCCCAAACACTCCATGCATTGACCTCTGAAACAACCGCAATGTAGAAAAACATGCCCTACATATATCTTTATACATGGAGTGTCTGAGGACAGCGATTCTTTTTCTGGTTTTTTCTTCCTTTTTTTCTGAACATTCTTGATCCGAGTTTCCCCAAACACCGGGTGAAGATGGGTCAACATAGCTAGGGGTCACCATGCCCATGTACCTCCCGAATAGGCTGACTAATATCCAGTCGACTTCCTGAGACCCCGAGAATCCCGACCCATGCGGTTTTCCAACAATAGCTCCAGACCTGCCAAAGCCTGCCGCCTGCCACCTGCCAAGGCCTGCCAAGGGCTGCCAAGGAGCCATGTCATCCACCCAGGGTACCTCAAGGCCCACCCAGGGGTTCATGTGCAAAGCCAACGAGAGATACCTTGGTCGCTCGGTCATGGTACGGATCCGGACGATTTGGGACGCCGGGACGCCGTGGCGGGAGGAGAAGTTAGGGCGGTGATGTCCAATTGGTTGAGAAGTTCCAGATGCTTTAGCGAATCACCAAAGCAGGTCAGGGCTTATTCATTTGAATCTACTGTATTTACTGTACTTGGGTTACCGATCTCATCAATTGAGTGTGGGATGTGTCATGAGCGTGTGGATCCATCTAGCAGAATGTCAAGGCAAGTGTCACTGGCACAACATTGCATGGGACCAGTTGGCCGACATTCCAACAATTATCTGATTTGCCCACCTTCACGACAACTCCATGAAAGTCATGACAGGTTTGTTTTTCTGTGTTGTTTTGATAATACAGAAGCAACGCTTCTCTTGCACCACCCTTGGACAGAACATAAAACCTAGGAAACTCTGACGTGTTGCAGAACTGGTTGCCACTGCAAGCGCTGCCCTGGAAAAAAGCACTGGTGTTCAAACAAAACTCCATGATACATATATATATATATTGTATATATGTATCTGTATATATAAGCCATATCATAATTAATTTATGTCAATCCATGTATTGAAAAAGGTACATAAGAACATCATATGGTACCCCCCCAAAAAAAACTATGTTCACATCACTTTTGCTGGTATTTGCAATAGTTTGTGTCTATTTTGGGTTGCCTTTTGATCCTTGTTTTGTTTTTGGGGGGTATCATATATATATATATATATTTTTTTTTTTGTTTTTTGGTGCACGTAGGTTGCATGACTTGTTTGTCCACTTTGGAAGGAATGCATTCAGAATGCGTTCAATGCATTCAGAATGCATTCCTGCCCAATACCAAGATCCAAGATCCAAGATTCCCACAAGACTCCTGGCTAAAATCTTGGAAATACCAAGATCGAAGATCCAAGATTCCCACAAGACTCCTTGCTAAAATCTTGGAAATACCAAGATCCAAGATCCAAGATTCCCACAAGACTCCTGGCTAAAATCTTGGATCTTGAATCTTGGTTTTGGGCAGGATGTTCCCAAATCCAAGATTTTCCACAAGACTTCTGTGCAAATCTTGGATCTTGGTATTTCCAAGATTTTAGCCAGGAGTCTTGTGGGAATCTTGGATCTTGGATCTTGGTATTTCCAAGATTTTCCACAAGACTTCTGTGCAAATCTTGGATCTTGGATCTTGGTATTGGGCAGGAATGCATTCTCTGGCATTCTCTGGATTTGTTCCTCATTCAATTCTAATTAACAACTAATTCAACTCTAATTTACTTCTATGAATTTTAGTGCACATACAATTTAACTAAATTCTAAGTCAATTCTGATTCCAATTTAAAATCACTTGTATTTCTATTTAAATTTCTAAGTTGAGTCTAATTGAAGTCTAATTAAACTTTAAATGGATTCTAATTTGAGTATGTAACATAGTTCTAATGTAAGCCTAAGTTGAGCCTAATTGAATTCTAATTTAAGTCTATTTAGCTTAACTTCAGTCATTGTATAAACAAATTCTAATTCAGTTTTTATTCTAATTTACTCATTTCTACTTTAATTCTAAATATGCTTGGCTGTTTTAGATCTAATGGAATTGAAACTTGAATCTAAATTTGAATCTGCAACGTGCTTCTAATTTAAATAGAACATGATCCTAATTGAATTTTATATAATTGAAATCAAATTGAGATTGCAAATTAGATTTAGTTCAATTCTAATTGAACTTAGATTCCAATTTAGTTCTAAGTCAATACTGTTCTACTAACCAAGCTCTAGGTAAAACAACTCTAATTCAATTCTACCTTAGTTCTAAGTCAATTTCAATTTAAGTAATGGATTATTATTCAATGTGTTTCTTTCAACTCTAATTTAATTCCAGTCTACTTCTAATTTAGTTCTATTTCATTCTATTTTGGGTTCAATTGTAACTTTGACTCTTCCAATTTACTAGTAATTAATGTCAATTCTTAATGCCTTTATGCGGTTCAGATTCAGTTGTTTTACACATCGAATTTTACACTATTGTCATTGCAAATTAGGTTTGGTTTCTATATGTCTAATTTCATCCTTTTTTATCTTTTTTTGATTCTAGTTCAATGCACATGGACTTCTAATTCAGTTTTGGTGTCATTCTAGAGAGTGGGTGTTGCTGGTGGTGAATTTAATTCATTTAAGAAAGCACATTCTTGTATATTGGAAAAACTACATAAAATCTCTCATGTTCAAAGTAACACCACTTCTCTAGAAGTAAATGAGAATTTCACTCAAATTAAAACTAAATTGAAAAATAATACAATATTAGAATTGAATCTGACTTGTATAGCAATGAAGTTAGAATTAGCTTGAAATCAAATTAAAATTAGGCTTGCATTGAATCCCAAGTAAATTAGAATCTATAGTGATAGACCTTTGCATCAAAATAGTTTACACATAATTGAAATAGACTCAAATTTGAATTTGAATATACAAAGTAGAGTAGAGTTGAATAGATTGGAATTTAAGTTTCATTAGAATTAGACTGGAATTTAGTTATTTAGGGTTTGCAATTTTTTGCCTTCTGATTATGATGTACTTGCTCAACTGCATTCAATAAGAGGAGTACAATTCACACCCTAAAAGCAAGACATATGGTTTTGCATGGAGTTGCAATGAATTAGATTACTCCATCCAAGAACTGTTTAGTAAACACATAACCTTATGGATTTGGATATTTTTGTAGTACATAGTTAAATGAACAAATATGCTTACCAACTGCACACCAGCACTCAGAAACATAGGTTTTTTTTTTTTGGGGGGGGCTAGCATATATATATATAAGCCATATCATAATTAATTTATATCAATCCGTGTATTGAAAAAGGTACATAAGAACATCACCCAAATGAAACCATCCGTTCTGGAAACAAAGTACGGTGGAAAAACCGCAACGGATCCTTTGCGCATCAAAAACCGGGTCCCTTCACTTGTGTTCAGTCTGTCCACCTTGCTTCCAACTCAAGTCCTCCTCGCTGAGGATCCAAACCCCCGCGCCACCTTCTTCTCCCCGCGCTTCTCACTGGCCGAACGGGCGGAACGGGAGCCGTTTCACCCAACTTACCAGACTGACAAAGGAAGAAAATGGAACAACCAAAAGCAGTGCCTAACAACTCTCTTTCACAGAGTGAGGTTCAGCTGAAGCAATATCCGTGCAAAAGAAACAACACCTATATAGTAGTCTATTATAGTTGTATATCATTTGCAAGGTCCCAAGCCCAAGTGAGAAACTATTCCCACTATCTGGATCTTCCTGCAAATACGCATAGTATCACAATCATAAATCATGAACATGGATACAAGTTACAAGGATCCTTTTTCATAATCATTACATCTGTTATTTTCTGGATCATTTGGAGTCCACCGTCCACAGTTGACGAGTAATGCAAAAACACGGTTTTGTGCGGTGGCATTAGCCCCATCCTACGGTGGGCTAGGTCGGACGCTGTTTAGTAAACATAATTCCCATGGCCCATGGCTCCTATAAATTTCCTGGAGGACAACATCTGCAGATTTCTGCAGTGTCAATTTGCTTGTCCACAAGAAGAAGTTCGTACTGTAAGTGGGAATCACAGCAGTGGCGATAATGGGAAACTGGCTTGCTTGGTCCTGTTGGTGATCAAGGCTTAAGGATAAGTTGAAAGCTCCTTGGACCCTTTTGCCTTTTCGTTCCACTGAGTCCCTGTCCGACCTGGTCGAACAAAGGACAAGCGCATTGGCCGCAAATCTTGGCTATCCCGGGTGGTATACAGTTGACGCGTCTTTGGAACCATAGCTCAACCACATGCGCCCTATTTCGGGGTGTTCTTCAACTAACATGTGGGTTTCCGGTCCATCCAGCAGCTCTCCCCCCCTTTCGCTCCCCGGTCGTGAGCGGACGCTCGCGCTTCAAACATGCCAAACGCTGACAGCTCTTTGGCCCGGCGGCCAATCAGCGCTGGGCTGTTGAGGATGCGGTGTTCGCGCCCGCCTGTGTACCACGGTATGTGGTGGAGTGCTGTGGTGGTACATCAAAGTCCGTAAGATGAAGCTGGACTCGTTTGAATGAACTCCCTCCATACTGGCATGATCAAATGATTCGTGGGCAGAACTTCTGGCACTGAGATGGCTACTGGTCTCGGAATCGTTCGACTCTTGGTGCAACAAACACAAACCAAATTGTCATAGGATGCCGAGTGCTCGTCTATTTGCTGGAGCCTTCTTATCCTTCTTTACGACCTACGGCCATGCGTGTGGATGCGTGTGGAATGTCACCGTATGGCCAAGATGGTGACGGTGTCACCCTTTGGAGTAGTCTGGTCACGTTGAAAGAAGAGAAGTCTTCTCACGTGGCGCTTCGGGGCCAAAACGGATGGATCCCCCTTTGGATCCTCAGATTCGATGGCCAAAACGGATGGATCGATCCCACGAATCACGGGAACTGAGCGAAGAACTGAGCGAAGAACTCTGAACGTGTCATGGAAGATCTTCTCTGCACTCGTTTCTGGTCACCATGTTGTTTCCTTCTCAGCAGCGACTAAACGGAACGAACATGCTGACTCTGCAACTCTGCAACTCTGCCTGCTCGCTACGTCTGTACCGATCTGCAGGGACGAAACCCAACATGAAATGGCTGTGGGTCATTGCACCAGGAGACCCTAGTTGACCTACCAGCGACTGCATGTCTAAGCGCTTCCCGATGCCCTATGCGTCCTTCACCTGGTGGACCAGTCCTTCAATTGGTCGAACTGGTCGGGCTCCAGGTGGGTTCACGACCCATGCCGCCCCCAATGAACATGCTGACAAACCAACCACCTTGACCCTCCACTCCTCAGTCGTTTCATCTTGTTCGCCCAAAGGGACTCACTCACTGACCTGCTTCGCACCGCTGCTTCGGACCCATTGGATCCAACAGAAAGCAACGGAAGTCCAGATGCGTGGATCATCGTGGATCCATTGGAAAAGCTGGGAACGCACCTTTTGGGGGAGTTCTTCTTGAGAGTGGGGGGACAAGAGGGTGGGTCTCCCCCCCATGAAACGAACCGTGAAACGGATCTGTTCTTGGAGACAAACGAAAGAACCTAGTTTGGGCGGATGAGGACTGGACCAAGAAAGCTCGGCGTCCCGACTCCTGGGTACTTCCTCTTCGGCTCCTCGGTTCGGTTGGATGCCCAAAGCGGTTCAGGACACAGAATGCCAAGGATTTGAAGAAACCAAGTCTTTTTATATGTATAACAAGAAGCTACTAGGGGCTCCTGGCATCGCTACTACCAATGGAACCCAAAACCTACGAATTTGTCGTGTCTGATGGAAAACATCGTGTTTGGGCTCCACTTGACTAAAAACATTGTGTTTCTGTCGAAAACATCATTTTTCCAAAAGCACTAAGTTTCGAACCCGTATAAAAACCGTAGAAAACCCGTAGAAAACCGTAGAAAACCCGTAGAATCCCGTAGGCAATCGTATCGTTTTGAGGAAGTCAACAAAACTCGTGTTTTCATTAAAAACCTCGTGTATTTTCAGGGTATGACATTTTTAGGAGTTCTTGGTTCTCTAGGTAGGAGCAAAGACGCTACTAGGGGCTCCTGGCCGTACTACTAGAAGCATCCCAGCACCAGGCACGCAGGCACCAGGCATGTTCAACCAGGTACACTTTATAGGAGTGCCTAGTTTTTTTACATTGACACTGACACTAATCTAACAAACCTTAGACCCGGAAGTTGGACTGGGTCGAGTCCTCGACCCGGTCGAGTCGAACGAATTCTGAGTCTTCGGCTCAGTTTTTTCCACTGGATCCACTGGGCGTGGCGGTTTCAGGGGGTCCCACCAGTTGAGCCATATTCCGCTTGCTTCACCGCAACCGGAACGTCAACAGCTTAAAGCAGCTAGCAGCACGTGGGTCGACCAGGCCTCACCGAGCGGAGGCTCGGTGGCGGAACTCCAGTCGGGATCGGTGTCCCCAAGATCGAAGAGCCCAGTGACCATCCGACGCCAATGGCGGACCATCTCCAGTGACCGGATGGTTCTCGGTGAAGAACAAAGAGAACCATCCGGTGACCAAGACCGTTGGGTCGGGGTCAATCAGGTTGGCACCGCTGGCACCCCAAGCTGACAATGTTTGACCATTTTTGACACACCCCAAGCTGCGCAGCAACATCAGCAAAATGCTTACAAGGTCTTCCGTGTGGTCTTGTGGGGTGATATCGTGCCTTGACAGGCACAGGGTGAACTTGTCACCCGTCGGATCATGCCTGCCACTGCGCAACAAATGAAGCCTTCGATCAACACCTAAACTGAAGAGGCTCGAGGTTGAGCTAATCCTTCGACTTCCACTCAGGTGGAGGGAGCAAAGTCTTCCTGGAAGCCCAGCCTGGATCATCCAACCAGGATGACTTGAGTCTGGTTAAGCCAGTGTGTGACAGGATGTGCAAAGGCGTGTTCCATTCCTGTCTTGTCTTCCCTTCCTTTGGATCGAGTCACTGATCGAGTCTACTTTGACCATGCCGGATAACCTTTCAGCACAATGCGTACTGAGCTCGAGGTCTGCATTGAACATCGACACAATCTGCCTCTCAAGGCCTCTCCAGTTTAATAACTTAAAGTTACAACATCTAAGAGATAACTGTCAATATCTGTTGATGCGGGTATCTTGAGATTCCCTGTTCTGGTGTCGCTTAAGATCCACTAAGATCTGTATACACTGTATACACTCTCAATAGTTTTCCTTTCTTACTGAGCCTCCCCCTCCCCACCACTTTCTGCGCTTCCAGCCACAGTTGCGGCTAAGGCCGGCGCTGGCCGAGGAGGGCAAGAGATCCAGCTCAGCCTTGCGACCTGCCAGCATCGACGCCCAAAGGTCCATTGTGATGCAAGGCAAACGGAACGACGGAATCTGATAGATAGACATGATGAAACATGTGGATACGAAACCAAGAAGCGAAAGGGGTTCTTGCTAGCAGTTCCTGCTTTCATTCACGGAGGTCTCATCCCAATTTTTCGGGAAAACAATGAATCGAGGACAGGTCTGGATGAGGTCTCCAAGCATGAAAAAAACACGTCGGATGCCCCCAACCCTTCATCCCGAGTGGGCGGGTGGTCGCCTAAGGCTTCTAGCTTCTTTCGGTCGTATCCATGGCTCGAGGCAAAGCTCTGCAGCACCTGAGGCTCGTGGGAAGCACGTGAGGATACGTGAGTGCTGTGATCGCCAAGGCCTGACTTACCATGCGTCCGACGTGGCTTCTCTGGAGGAGGCAGGAAGAACAAATGGGCTTCTACTCAGAAGCTCTTCATTAAACTTCTACTCAGGAATGTGCCTCTGGAGCTAGCGTGTGATCACAGTTTGGTGTTCAGCTTGGAACTTGTCTGACACTTAGATGGGTGTGAGATTGGTCCAGGATGGTGCAGTCGGAGTCTGATCTCAACACAACATTGTTTAAGGAGATGATCTAGTTAAAGTGCAAGAACATGTGTTGTTTGGCCAAGCACATGTTTAGGGTTTGGGCACCCCAAACCCCAACCAATGTGATGAATCAAAGAGACACCTTAGATCTGCATGGCTTGCGGCCTGCGGCCTGCGTAACATTCCTGGATCTAAGGTTTCATGTTGAGAGTCCACCAGAATCTTCGATTCTTTTTCAGGATTCTATGTGTATAATGCGTTGGGCATGATATGATATCCGAAAACCAGTAGTCAAATTATGGTTATATAGTGAAGGCCTTTCTCTAAGATAGTCATAATTGTTTACCGACTGATACAGGTAATGGGACAAACCCCAGGAAATTGAGTTTTACCCTCCAGATGCACTGCTTAAAACAATGCAGGGGTAGGGGTGGTGTGAAAAAGGACTGGCAGTAAACAGTGCGATTGCTAAACAAAATACATAAGTATGTTTTTTCAATGTGGTGTTGCTTAGACGTGGAAATCCTCTTGTTGTTTGGTAAAATGAAAAATGTGTTTCCTTTTTAAAATCACAGTTCTCTTCAGGCGAACCTGCTGTGTGCCCAATGGTCAAAAATCCAGGATCAAATCCCTTTGACTGGACGTCTAAAGTCTAAACAACTCGTTTAAACGCCTTGGATTTTAATGACCACCAGTAAAGGTTTCGGGTAGACATAGACTAATAGAGCTGTTTTGCATAACAAGTGACTTGAAATGTGTGGGGCGACTTCTTGCAAAGGAGAAGGCATTGTTAAAGAAGAAAAAGTATAGGTTGGAGGCCATCGCTAGTAGTTTGGAGGCCATCGCTAGCAGGTCGGAAGCCATCGCTAGTAGGTTGGAGGCCATCGCTAGT